GTTAAATGGTTAATTAAATTGCAAATATAAAAGGGACTATTATTAATTTTAATAGTGATAATTTTTGTAGGATGGATACTATTCTGTAATTTAAGTATTTATTCGTTCGCATCAAGTCTATATATAATTCAAAAAAAATCCATGAATGATTATAACTGTCGTATTGAAATAACTTGAAGGTAATGAAATAATCTGGTATAGAACGTCGTTAAATCCCTTGAAAGGTTGAAGAGGCAACTATATGTAAGGATCTTGAAAGGTTAAAGAAGTAATTTGTGGAAGTAATACGATGAATAAAATGTAAGACGGGGAGCACTAGATCTAGGGAAAAGTAGATCACTTGAAACTATGCTGTCATGCATGGTGTGTGTGTGTGTGTGTGTGTGTGTATATATATATATATGGTCGATATAATAAATTTAATACGAATAACGGTGGAAACCGTGATAAATTGAAACTTTCGAACGTGCAATTGACAGTAATGTATAGCGATTTGCAGTATATAAGGAATAACACTGCTTCGTGTTCTTGGAATACAGAGTTCTTAGATTTTCAATTTTTTTTTCACAACTAAGAGGAGTGGAACTAAAAATATCGAAACGGGAGCAATCAATTTTAAAACGTAATTTTAAAACGTTCGAAAATTGATCTATCAACTATCATTCTCATATACGTGACGCAATATTGACGCTTCTTTGCTTCTGCAGGCCAATCACAAATTCACAGTGGCAAGATTTCGCTAAACGGATTATGACTTATTCGCACCACTATGATGATTACAAAAGATGTTAGAACGTACAGTGATTCATAACATCTCGTTCATCCATAAATATATTTCAGATCAAATAGCGATATTGTAATTCAAATTCGTGTGTCTCTCAAAGAAATTCTAATTAAATTTAAAAATTTTCATCGTCAACTCCCCCACATTTAATCTCCAGTTTTCGAAAAGCATCGTACCAATTTATCGTTCAAATATCCATTGTCTATCCACGATTGGAATCCAGCGTTCAACCCTATTCTCCCCCTCATCGTAAGTGTCCACATACCAAAACCACGAAACCAATTCCTAACTCCACTTCCACAACCCCTAATACCCAACTTTCAACTCCATTCCCGGGAACAAAGACACGCCTCGATCGTTCGAAGAATATCGCTTCGTTCACCGAGTTTCGAACGCTATCTCACGTTTCTTTTCTCTCTTTTTCTTTCTTTCTTTCTTTTTTCTTTTTTTTTTTTTTCTTCTTTAATTAACCCTATACATCGAAAATATCCTCGAATATCTCACCTTGATCGAACGACGAGTCGTTCGTCTCGATAAGATTGAGATCACGATCGAGGTTGAAGGGGGGAGGGCTGAGCGAACGGACATTTAGAATCGACTGCGCGAGATCAGAGCGACCCATCCTGCTAAGATGGCTCCGCTTCGAAGCCGAGGTTCGACGTGGCTTTTGGGGTCGGGATATCGCATTATTCCCGGCTGAATGGGGTAAATCAGGATCTCGTAGAGTTTCGACGTGGAATCGACGGTGCTCTCGGATCGCTGATGCTGAGAGGATGAGGATTGGTTGCCAGCGGCTGCCTTGGGAATTCAATTATAGCAACGGAACAATGGCAACCGCGCCGGTAATGAAGGGACCGTCGCCGAGAGGTCATCGGATTACATGGTATTTACAATACATAAGTCGGATGGTTGTCGAGGATGGTTGGATCCCTGCCATCCTTCCTTTCAATTTTATCCTCCCTTTCGTGATGTTCAAGTTTAAAGCGTTTCTTCAGGGTTGAAAATGAAATATAAAAAAAAGTACAACTATCTCTCCAACCAATTCAAACTTTTCAAACTCACCGTTCCATTTAAGGATGCTCTTAGATACATCATTTTTATTTGCAAATTATTTCGAATGACCGACAATCGAGTTTCCATTGGAATTTCAATTTCCTCCACTACGTTGTCACGAGTAATTATAAACGTAACACGAAGAAAGTTAAAGTAAAAATATTCCTAGATGCATCGATCTGTGAAATAACGCTATCTATGAATAACGTTTCAGCTTGAACGTCAACTTTGGGCGTGAACTTTGGGATCGAGATTTGCGGCGAAAGTGGTCATCCGAGTAAACATCGGTTTTTCACAGAGGCCGTGGGGGGAGGAAAAAAATTTACAAAGAAACGCGACCCCTTTAAAGCCACGACGGGTTTCGTAATTACGTTACCGGGGGC